GTCTTTATTTTACAGTTAAAATAAATGTTTATCAAATAAAGTCTAATGTTACAACTAATCGTGGATCCCTTTAATACTGTATCGAGCTACACATTGTTCTCAGACTCAGTCAAATGAACCGTCTCATTATTGTTGTCGTTATTGTGCGTACTGCAGGGAAAGGTGCACCTGGAGCTGCGTCTGAGCGAAGTCATCACCGACAGTGGAGTCATCAGCCACAAGCTGGCCACACGGTGAGGCGCACAAACTGTAGCTTCCTTTTTCACAAACGTTTAAAAACCTGCAAAAACTGCATTAGTACTTCAGATAAAACTTTGCATCGAGTTGTTATCTTCAACACCAGCTGGGAGATCCTGACATCCAGACATGGTTTGAGGTTTCCTCTTTCAAATGATGTCAGGAAATCCTCAATAAAAGTGCTAAAAATAGGATTCAGAGGGGTCTTTCAGGTCAATCCAGGAATGAGAATCAAGCTGAAAAAGCCAAAAATCTAATAATCTAATTTAGTTTTAATCTCTGATTTTTTGCTTTTTTGGTAAAAGGCACTTTATGATTTTAATGTTGCATAAAAATACCATCTATGCTGCAAAGAGTTTAGCCAGGGGGTCTCTGCAGTCAAGTGGGTGGCTCTTCATGTTTGTGAGGAGACATGTTTGGTTGGATTGACTGTTCTGGGCAGGGTTTGAAGAAGGCAATGATTCAGTTGGATGAACGCTAGGGGATGCGCCGGTTAAAACAGCTTGAAAGTACCTATAACTTTAAATATAAATATTAATTTAGTCGTAACTCGAGACAGGAAGAGGCTAGCCGAACCAAATTTAAAGTCAAATTGTTTACTTGTTCACAGTAATTTTGATTTGAGACATTGTTCCGTTTTAAACWATGGTTAGGACTAACTCCGCCCACAAARCCAAGAAACTTTCWCATTTTTCCAAACTCTGATCATTCTAATTAACTCTGCCAATCAAAGTCAGGAAAAAAACTCCACCCACACAGCCAAGACCCTCCCTCTTTTTAAATAAACTCCACCCAAATCAAAGAATTACGCCAAACAATGTTAGAACAAACTCCACCCACACAGCCAAGAAACACTCGTATTCGAGTAAACTCCTCYCATACTAAATAACTCCGCCAATCATGGGTAGGAATAACTCCGCCCACACAGCCAAGACACTCCCTCTTTTTTCCTGACTCCGCCCAAATCAAAGAACTTGGGCAATCACGTTTAGAACAAACTCCGCCCACACAGCCAAGAAACTCCCCCATGTACTGCAGAGACGTTCCTTCTTCTGTGGTTTTTGTTTTCTCTGAAGAGTTATTGCTTTTAATAAAATGAAATGTGAGTAGCTTTTTAAAATGATGTAATGTGGAAAGATGGAAAAAGAAATCTAGCAGCCTGATTAATTTAAACTTGTCTGAATTAAAATTAAATCCCTTTTTTGTGTGTTTTCATCAGCATCTCTTCCTCTTGTTAATCTTTTTGGGCAACGTGTCAGAAAGCTGCAGACTTTCAAGTTTAATGATTATAGATGCAGATTTGTTCCTGTTCTTTTCTTTAATACCAAACCTTTGGATTCAAAATGTTGCTGCAGGATACAGTAAAGACAAGGCCGTTGAAGATTTGAGCCGTTTGTTTAGAGTAAATCACCAATAAAAGCGTTTTAATCTCTTCAGGTGTGTTATTGTGTTGCGTGATAATCCTCTCACGTGGATTATCGCGTGGTTTGTCGGGGCCTTTGGCTTCTCGTATCCATACGGCGCTCAGATGTTCCTGGAGGAAAAATAAGATTGTTAACTCGCTTTTCTTGTATTTATCAAACATTTAGATGAGTTTTCTCCTCATGAAATTAATCCTTTGATACTTTGAAACTGCATGAAGGGATTATATTGGAATAACATCTGTCTTCACCACCCACTTAGCCGCTGATGCTAAAATAGATCATCTTCCCAAACGTTTGATCTGACAAGTTCAACGCATGAAATTAATGAGATTTAAGTTAAATCTTGATGCAATTTCCTGGAGATTTTGAATTTATGCTCTGAAACAGGATGTTGGAGTAAATCCAGATTCAAATGATGAGAGAACGGGCTGCAGCTGGTCCTGACGAGAAATAAAGAGCAGGTGTGTGAGACGAGGCAGGGCTGAGGAAAATAGAGCCGAGCTGAAGGAAAAATAAAATATTAAAAACAACCAAAACACAAATCCTGACATTTCTTTTTGAAAAGATCTTTAAGCACACAAACTATGTTCTACTTTTAGGTTTTAACTACACTTCTGATATTTTTAGCTTTTGATTAGTCTTTTGACTTGTCTTTTGTTGCTATAGGCTAGCCGTTTATTGCCTTTTGCTACTTTTAGAAGTTTTTTTTTTTACTGTTAACCAACCATTTGATACTTTTTGGTCATTTTTGCTACATTTAGCCAGCTTGCGCTACGTTTAGAAAGTAACTTTGTTATTATTAGGAAGTTTTTTTTGTTACTTTTAGCTAGCTTTTTTCTACATTTAGGTTGTTTTTTTTTGCTACTTTTAATCAGCCTTTTGATACTTATAACTAGCCTTTTTTAATTTTAGAAAGTCTCTTACCTTTGCTAGGTTTTGCTACTTTCAGAAGGAATTTTGTTACTGTTAATCAACCGTTTGCTACTATTTGGTAATTTTTGCTACATTTAGCCAGCTTTTGCTGTGTTAAATTACTTTTTAAAGTCTTTTTAAAAGAGTTTTGTTACCTTTAGCTAGCTTTATTCTACATTTAAGTATTTTTTGCTACTTTTAGYTAGCCTTTTRCTACCTTTAGAAAGTCTCGTTACTTTTAGTCTTGATACATTTAGGTATTTTTTTCCTACTTTTTTCCAGCCTTTTGTTATTTTTAGTTATTAGCTAGCTTTTTTCTACTTTTAGTTGGTCTTTTGCAGCTTTTAAATTGTATCTAATGCCTGCTACGTTTAGCTTTTAGCCAGCATTTATCTTTTTTAGCTTTATCAACTCAAATTTCACCACAATCGTTTAAAACAGGCCAGTTATTTATTTATTTGTTTTGGTTTTATCATAACTTCACCATACAGTTTGTATAAAAAGGCGAAGAATAAACTAAATAAATATGATTTATGACTCACAGACCTAACGTAAAAGCTTCTTTTAAATCCCTCAATATAAATGTTCTTATCACTTGTGTTTGAATTTATATATATATATATATATATATATATAATAAAAAATAATTTTTATTGTATATTAAATTTATGTTGAAGCCAATATCAGCTAAAATCCTTTCAGCGCTTCGTATCTCAGACCAGCTCCAGTGTGAAACTTGTGTGAGCGTGGTGGCGTGATGTTTATCTAGACAAATCGAAAACCCTCAGTTTTCAGTTTCAGTTTCAAACTCACAACCACAAAGGTCACTGACTCAACTTCCTTCAGCTGCTTGCTCAATTTGTCTTTTTGTTCCGTTACCTGCAGTTTTGATCATTTTAGCTAGTGTTTGGTTGATTTTAGCCTTAGCTTCTGTTTAGCTACTCTTAGCTACATGTTTKCTCAGATTAGTGTTTATTTTGATCATTTTAGCTATTGTTTTGGTACTTTTAGTTATGATTCTACTTCTTTTAGCGTTTTGCTTTTAGCTCTTGTTCTGTTTCTCCAAACTTTTAGCTACGATTCTATCATTGATTTTAGTTAAACTTTTTCTTGGTGTTTTGCTAATTTTAGTAGCGTTGCACCAATGATTCGAAATGATGGATGGCATCAAAAGGTTGYTATGCTAACATTAGCTAAAGCATTAAGTAGCCTCTTATTAAATCACTGAATTATAGTGATAACCCCCATCCTGTCTCGTCTTCTCATGTTTTTTGTATTTAGTTTAATTTTTCTTATGACCACATGTATTAATGTTAGAAATGCATGTGATTAAGTTTAAGTTTTACAGGTCATTATTTTAACTAGCTTTGGGAAYTTGTTATATGAAGGTAGACAGACTGGAGAACAGGATGATGAGCAGGTGAGATGAGAAAAAGAGGAATGGAAAAAATAGGTGCAGCCCTAAATTTGWCTCAGTTTTTATGCTTTTGGTTCCAGTTATGTAAATACTAGCATTTGTTTTACTACTGATTCCTACAGTTTGTCTAATTTTAGTATGYGTTTTAGGAATTTTAGCTACAATTTTGCTGATCATGTAATATCTTTGCTGATTTTAGTCACTTTTTTAAAATAATAACTAATGTTGTGACATCTTTTTTCACAATTTTAGCTACCACTTTGCTAATTTAAGTACTTTTATGCTCATCTGATTTGGTAACTAGCAACATTTTTTGCTGATTTTCAGGCCTGAATTTTGTTTTTCTACTTTTATCTACAGTTTTGTTAGTGCAAGCATTCATTACTAACATCTTTTTTTAGCTAGATCTTTCTATTTTGCTCATTTAAGTTCCWTTTTTGCAACTTTTATTCACTGTTTTGCTAATTAAGGATTGTTTTTTGCAACTTTATTCACTATTTTGCTAATATATACTGTATGTATACAGCATATACACAGTATGCAACTTTTATTCTTTTCTTTTTTTTTTTGCTCATTTTAGAAACTTTTACTCATTTGAGAAAAAATGTTTTTTGTTTTAACTACTATGGTCAGTTTTTGCAACTTATTCACTGTTTTGCTAATTTAAGTGCCCTTTTTCCAACTTTTTTTAAATCATTTTTGTCATTTTTTACTCATTTGAGACAGCTTTTTGTTTTAACTACAATGGTCCTACTTTCATTCACTGTTTTGCTCACTCTAGCATCTCTTTTGAAACTTTTTTTACTGATTTGCTAACTGTCACATCTGGCTGCTTTGATGTCATTTCACTCTTTTCCTGGAGTGTCCAGGAAACATGGGCTCAGGACCACAGTAACCTAATATGAGTAATGTGGACTAAAACAAACAAGTCTGCCTCGCAGCCGTAACAGAAAAGAGGGCGAGGTTTGGATCTTAGGCAGGGCGGAGGTTACATAAACCAGCTTACTGGACAGGAAGTGCTGTGGCATTAGAGCGCTTAACCCAGCCCATACCTTACTCCTTATTTGGGATCTCTGTCTGTGTGTGTCTCTCTGTGTGTGTGTGTGTGTGTGTGTGTGTGTGTGTGTGTCTGTGTGTGTAAGAGAGAGAGAGAGCTTAGTCGTGGGAAGCGTTGGGATTTGCTGCGTGATTCATCGCGCTCTGTGAGTAGCGGTGCATCACTGTGACACACAGGAAGTGATTCGTCTTGCAGGGTGTCCCGGTTTGAACGCTAATCCCCTTATAGCATGATGTCACAGAGCACCGGGGGTCAGTCGTTACAAAYGGAGGCAAAAAACACACGAGAACGTATACAACACGTAAATATATTTAACAAATGCAACAGCTCATCTGTGACTGATCATAAAAACCTGATATTTGGGCTTTTATTTTGTAGAGAAACAGTAGAAGTTACTAGAAAGTGAAGGAAAGTTAATTAAATATTTTGGTAAAATATATTTTATTGGAAAATGCAGTGAGCTCAATGACTTTTTTAAAATTTGCTAGAGAAAAACAAACAAAACAGAATCTAAAACTAATTAAATACAATACTAGCTAGCAGCTAAAAGCAGTATAACAATTACTAGAACTTACAAATGAATAACTGTGGTTCAGATTGGCCAGTCATTTAAATTTGCTAAAATAAAAGTAGCAACAGAGATGCTAAAGCTTCATTCTGTAAAATGTTAAAAAGAAAGGTTTAAAAATTAACCTACAAACAAAAATCAACAAAACAAAGATCTAAATGAGCAAAACAGATGCTAACAGATGCAGTTTGACAGCAGTTAGCTTCACTGACCCCTAATYGCCTCACCACGAATCTTAGCTAAAGCTAAACCGCTAAACAGATTACATTAATYGTTGAAGCTAGTGCTACCCGCTAACCGTCAGTCTTCATCTCCTTCAGTTAAAGACTGGTGGGACTGACACAAATCTGTTGTTTCGTTATTTAAATGTCGTTAAATGCCATTTTATTTTTTTAAAGCTCTTAGTTTGACATTTAGCTGCTTTTTTATTTTTTWTTTAAAAAGACATTTAGCTGCTAAAGATGGTACATGCTAATGCACACGGTGCCTGATACATCCAGAACTGCTTGTAAAAGGGGATAGTTTTTATTTAATTCAGGATAAACGGCATAAAAATAGAGGTTTTACACTTAAAAATAATCTTTTAGTGGACTTAAAATTAGTGGAACCTAATTTAGGGGAAGCTAATGGGTACGCTAACGGTTTACAAAGTTAGCAAAAAAGCTAATCCGCTAAATGAGAAGCTAGTTCTGTTATTAGCAGATGATGAACTGTTCCCACCACCGACTGTCGTCAAATTTTAATAAAAATTAGAGAAAATTTAAAAGCTATATCAAACCCAAAGTAGCTTTTTAAAAAAAATAAAACTGAGATGTTGCTCATAATAATCAGATTATTCTAGTTTTTTGATGAAGCTAAAAGCATAGCGGAGGTGTTGGATTTGGGTTTTTCTTTTAGTGAAATTAACCATTTGTGACCTTTTCTGTTCACAATTTGTTTAAGTAATAACGTGGAACTAAATTCAAACTTGTTTCTAGCTTTTAAAGGTTGTATCCTTTAAGCTGAATAACCTGTGAGGGTTCTGATGAAGGTTTGGATCTGGTTTTAACAGAGTCTTGGAGTGTCAGGGTCTCCCAATCGTCAACGGTCAGTGTGATCCCTACGCTGCTGTTTCCCTTCTCGGCCCATCAAGGTGAGTTTTTCTCTGTGGTTTTATATTTATCGCTTTGTTAAATTTCTTTAAATTATTGTTTTGTTTTTTTTAGGTCAGAAGCAAAAAAGACCAAAGTTAAGAGGAAAACCAACAACCCTCAGTTCGACGAGGTTTTTTACTTTGAGGTAATGATGTTTTTGTAATTTTTTATGAAACTTTCATGAAATAATCATCGTATTTACGCCCACGACCGATTTCAAGATAGCTGCCACGGCTAATCGACATTAGCCGACAGAAAGTTCAACCAGTTTTACAGACGATGAGCTAAAATGTGATCTATTTTCACGTTCCTCTCTACAAGTAAGGTCATGGTAACAAACCGCCCTCCATCGGGACAAGAGAGGCGTTTATTCAGGCGACCCGAACAATCCGGTCCATTGATTCTGTCAGAACCGCTTTATTTACTCCCCAATCGCCGCCTGAAAACAGCTGTATACCCGTCAGTGTTTTCCGTTTTCTGCAGATGTGAAGTGTAGGACTTTAACTCGATGCGACCTGAACTCTGTTGTTTTCAGGTGACTCGGCAGCCGAGCTACACCAAGCGTCAGTTTGACGTGGAGGAGGAGGACGTGGACAAGCTGGCTCTGAGGTGAGAGGGGGTTGGCGGCCATCGTTTGTCTCAGTGTGAATTCCTTCTGGTGTCTGAGCGGTTCTGTTCCTGCTCAGGGTGGACCTGTGGAACGCCAGCAACCTGAAGTTTGGGGACGAGTTCCTGGGCGGCGTGCGGGTTCCTCTGCGGGTTTTGAGTCAAGCTGGAGTTCACGACGCCTGGTGAGAGGAAACTGTGATTTTCTCCACGCGTTAACGTCCCTCTGTGAAAACTTTAAACATTTTATTGCTTTTGTGTTGTTTTATTTCTTTATACACTTTGTGCTGTTTTAACTGTTTATATGACAAAACATTAAGCTCATATAGCTAATGCTTGCTTCGACTTTTTTTATTTGTAACTTTTATCCTTTTTAAAATATTTACAAATATTTTCCCCACAGAGACAGATTGAGACCAAATTGTTCATTTTGAAATCTGCTTTAGAATACTGGCCCCAATTTTGGCCATTAATGCTACCTTAAATGCCTAATGCTATGCTTTAGCGTTTAACCTTTAGCTACTTTTACTGTTATATWTTTTTTTGCAACTTTTTTCTTTTAGCTAGCGTTTAGCTATTTTTAGGTAACTTTTTAGAAAACATTTAACTACTTTTAACTTCTAGCTAGCATTGTGCTTTTTTAGCTGGCTTTTTGTTACTTTAACTTAGTGTTGTGGGGTTTTTTCAGCCAACTTTTTGTCACTTTTAAGATAATGGTTTGCAACTTTTGAATTGATGTTTTGCTACTTTTTACTTTTAGCTAGCATTCAGCTATTTTAGCCACTGTCTGCCACTTTAATCTGTTTTTTGTAACTTTTAGCTAGTTTTTTGCTACTTTTRGACAACATTTGAGATTATGTTTTGCAACTTTTAACCCTTAGCTAACATTTTGCTACTTTTAGTCAGTGGGTTGCTACTTTTAGCTGTCTTTTTGCTGCTTTTACCTAGTGTGTTGCTACTTTTAGGTTCAGCTAGCATTTAGCTACTTTTACCCATCATTTTGCCATCTTTAGCTAACATTTTGCTACTCCTAGCCAGTATTTTTCTTCTTTTAGCCAACTGTTGTCACTGTTTAGTTGCAAAGTTTGAGTTACTTTACTACTTATAACTTTAAGCTAGCATTTTACTATTTTTAGTTATTTTTACCTTAGASCTAGATTTTGTTACATTAAGCTATCCTAGTATATTACTGTTTACGTTTTTTTAATGGATATAAGTATATACATGTTTAAATAAATAGATAAACTTATATTTGTGGTTCTTTAAGTACTTCCTGTTGTATTTCAGGTATAAGGATATACATGTTTATGTGCATAAATATGTATTTGTGGTTCTTTAAGTATTTCCTGTTGTATTTCAAGTATAAGGATAAACATGTTTATGTGTATAAAAATATATTTGTGGTTCTTTAGGTACTTCCTGTTGTATTTCAGGTATAAGGATAAATATATCTATGTGTATAAATATATATTTGTGGTTTTTAAGTACTTCCTGTTGTATTTCAAGTATAAGGATATACATGTTTATGTGTATAAATATATATTTGTGGTTCTTTAGGTACTTCCTGTTGTATTTCAGGTATAAGGATATACATGTTTATGTGTATAAATATATATTTGTGGTTCTTTAGGTACTTCCTGTTGTATTTCAGGAAAGTTATACATGATTATGTGTATAAATATATATTTGTGTTTCTTTAGGTACTTCCTGCAGCCCAGAGAAAACGGAGGGAAGTCTGTGAAGGTGGAAGATCTCGGCTCTCTGCGTCTGAACATCGTTTACACCGAGGACCACGTCTTCCCCTCCGAGCACTACACCCCCCTCAGAGATCTACTGCTGCATTCTGCTAAAGTCGAGGTACATGTCTCTATATACCCCTCCACCCCCCACCCTTTAACCCAACCCTAACAATGCTTCTCTCTGCCCTCCTTCTTCAGCCCGTGTCGGCGTCCACGGCCCACGTTCTGGGGGAGGTGTGTCGGGAGAAGCAAGAGGCCGCCATCCCGCTCGTTCGTCTCTTCCTTCATTACGGCAAAATCGTGCCTTTCATTAGCGCCATCGCTCACGCTGAAATCAACCGAACGCAGTGAGTCGGTTTGAGCAGCAGATGAGACGTTGACTCATTTTGAATCAGATTTGTTCTGTTAATAAATGAAGAGAAAACGGTTCGATCACTGCTGTTGATGTTCTTCGTTAAAGCAGGAGTAGAAATCAGGCTTTAGCTTTCACTTTAATCAGATTTACTCTGGATTTTACAGGATTAATGCACTCATTGTTTGTTATTCTGTTTTGATCCGTGCTTTGTTTTAAAATAAACGCGTCTTCTCTTCATTCGCAGGGATCCAAACACTATTTTTCGGGGGAATTCTCTGACTTCTAAGTGCATCGATGAGACCATGAAGCTGGCTGGGATGCACTATCTGCAAGTCACGCTAAAACCCGTCATAGACGAGGTACGAGATTAAACCAACACCAGGCTGTGATTTTTAAGTTTCCTCGCAGCGTGTGCCTCATTTATTT